TAGACAGAAATGGAATTATGGTGTAAGAGTAAACATAACTAGCAAGCTTTTTCGTTATTCAAGCTGTGTTGTATGTAAATTTTTTAAAGGTTCAACAAGCTGGTGGTTGAAAAAGCCACAGAGGAACGTCTGAAAGACATTAAAAATCTAGTTTCATTTGACACAAGTGAGTTATTTCGTTTTTCAGAGCGATTATCTACCAAACTTAATCTATCCTTTGTTTTCTTTCATAGATGAATGTCAAATCACAACGAAATGTCCAAAGCAAATGATTCTAGATTATAAGCTGAAAAACTCACAGTTAGCCTTTACGATGATTGAACAGTCAGGTCAATATTATTTTTCATACATGCCTACATTGTTTTCGAACATTATGCAGGAGAGAAAGAGACGTAAACTACCGAAGAATTGCATTTTCGTCATTTTACATGTTTTGAGATTGTTTTTCTATTTATAGCACATGTTGCGAAAGTTCAAATCGCTCCAATCATTTCAACTCGTACTAGTACTCCTATTTTTCACGACGAGTTCCTTAGAGATGGTTCAATAGATTTGAATAAATGGGAATTTCTCGAGGGCACAGGAGAAAATGGTTGGGGTACTCATCAGCAGCAATATTATACAAGGAATGCACATTGTGAGGGCAATCGTCTAATTATTGAAGCACGAAAAGAAATTCATAAAGATAGCAGATATACGTCTGCTCGATTGAGAAGCAAACAAACATTTTTATACGGCAAGCTTGAGGTATGAATTGATACAGATACAGGTTTTCGACAAAGTTTTATTGTTCTCTTGTATAACTCCAGATCCGTGCCAAATTACCTTCTGCAAAAGGAACATGGTCTTCATTTGTTTTGGTTTGTATTTTACATGCAAGCTAAACAGTTAAATACTCATCCATAATCAATCTCGTTTTAGCTTCCAGCTAAACGTACCTATGGCAAGGCAATGTGGCCTGAAAATGGAGAAATTAATCTCGTGTCACTTTTGGGAAGCAATCCAACGATGATCAGATCATCAGTTTGCACCAAATCCAACAATCCATTGCGAGATAATATTCCGATCGAAACGGCAGAAGTTCCGGATGCAAACACACAGTTTAAAACTTATACATGTAAGAGACCATGAGCGTCTTTAAGATGCTTTACTGATGACAAAATCTTTTGAAATTCATTTTTTTCTAGTGTTATGGTTACCTGATCAAATCGAAATGTTTGTTCGTTTAAACGACACAGATTCATATGATCGACGAATTTTGCTTTGGGAAAAACTCAACCGAGACTGGACGTTTTGGTAAGTCGAATGATCGCAACGAGTACCAACGGTCTGTTGAAAAGCGTGTTCTCTTATCTTTTTTTTTGTTTTTTTAGGCCATTTGATCAACGATTTCATTTGGAAATATATCTAGGCGTTGGTGGAGATGTGTAAGTACACTAGTTTATGATCATCACTTGAAATAATGTTTGTTGAAATTTTGTTTCTTTATTACAGAGCTGGCAACGAGATAGACGATGATAAATTTCCTCAGCAGCTTGAAATTGCTTCTGTTCGTTTTGAGGAATGGAATATATGAAAGATAGCATCTGAATTCTGCTCAATACAAATATCATTACCTACAAATGTACTAATTGATTACCAGACTTCATATACTTTTTCTTGTCTATACCAGAAATGTTCTACTCATTTTTTTGTGATTTCGTTTTCGTACAGTTTCTTTTTCTGAAGCAAAGGCTAAATACAGTAATAGTTGAGTTCTGAGTCTCAACTGCTAAAAGTTTGTCTGTTCAAGACAATCAGATTGCAGCATTTTATAAATCGATAAAAACGAACAGTGGACTTAGAGGTTATGTTCGAAGTCAAACAAAGCTTTTCGGTCTATTTCTTGGCGTCTTTTCACTCGCTACAAAGTGGAGCTATGAGTGAGTAACTTATTGATACTCGTTGCATTTCGTTTATTAAAGAAAAAGTATCATGATTAATGAAAAATAAGTATATTAGTTTCGTATTACGCATAGTAATTGTGAGAAGTGAACATATTGGCTAAAATGACAAGTTGATCATCGGTAAAGTGTTGCCGATGTTCATAATGCCATGAATCATGATGCGTACGACGAAAATCAGAGACACATTGTTTTATTGATTTCTAGAGTATTGGATTAGTGTATAATTCGAACAGAAATAGATTGAAAGAGAAACATACTTGTCTTAAATCAGGATCATGAGAATGTGTACAAAGTTGCATCAATACTTTTGGTACATGACTCGGAATATCATATGGACTTGCAAGTACAATAGCACAAAGTCCTAGAATACCTACAATAAAAATTGTGATCCATATTTATATCTATTCTTAAACATTATATCAGAATAGAAATCCTCACCACCATGACGATTGATAATATTTTTCAATGACACTATCTTTTTGCCATCAATTATAGTATAGTAATTAGTTTCACTCATTGTACGGAAATATTCCTTTTATAGCAGAGGTGTGCGGGTCGGGCGGGTACAAAAAAAAATAAAATAGTACGATCGTCGGGCGGGCGAGGATAATTTTTCACGGATTACGGGTGGGGAAAAAATTTTTGGAAATTCGATAGAGGACCGTCAAGAGCAATCGGTAGACATTGTTATATTACACTTGTGATAAGAAATAAATCGATTACTTGATTATTCTACACCTACCATCGTGAAGGTAACTAAAGAATCCACTTTTTTTGGCAAGATCAAAAATGTGTAATACCTAATTTGTCCAAACTAACAAAAAAGATATTCTAAATTTCAGTTTCAGCAGCAGCAGTTGAACGTTCATTTATTTCAGCTGGTGTTATTATATCTCAAAGGATAAGTAACATAAATCTATCTTTAGTCAACGATATGATTTTGGCTCGATAGGACCAATAAATTCAGGCCCACAGATTTTTTTGTCTCGGGCATTCGGTCAAGCCAGAAATTTCAAAATGTTTAGGGCCGAGCTCAAAGTCAGAATAAATTTTTTGTATCCTTAATTAATTACTTAATTTTTATTATGAAGTAATAACCTTCAAAGTGCTCAACATCATACATTTTTTGAGATCACAATGATCGGTAGAACGGTATAATATTCAGCACTGCTGTCCTGCTGATCACTACGATTTCTAACAGTGCATGGTTCTGTGTATTATGAAGTTTATTAATTAATAATAAGGTTGATTAATTATGTTAATGTTCTATTCGAAAGGCCTATCTGGCCGTAGAACAATAGGCCGAAAAATTTCTAAATTTTGAGCCGAACTGAACTTCATATAACCCTGTTCGTTCTGACGCTTTTTATTTAAACGCTTAGCATGCACAATGTGTAATATTTTTTCTTGTAATAAATCTCGTTAAATAATAAATGAATTAAATATATAAAATAAACAATTTATGAAACTTTAATTATTAATTAGAATATTCTCCGGGTAACACGGGCGGAGGCGGGGCCCCGTCAGAAAATTGACTGGGCGGGCGGGCTAAGAAAAAAGTAAATTGCACGGGGGACGGACGAGGCGGGGAAGAGTTATAAGAATTTAACCACGGGGCGGGCGGAATAGATTTAATATAATACACGGAGCGGGGCCCGCGGGGCATTTAAAATCACTGCCCCGCACACCTCTGTTTTATAGTAGAAGAAGAAGAAGAAATGAATAGACTATTTTATATCTTTATTCTGATCGTTCTTACTAAATCTTCATTGGTGATTTGAATGTAATCACATTGATAGAGACCTGCTAGAGTTTTCGATGCAGTGATTCGAACTTCCAGTTGTTCATCAAAAAGATATTTCAAAACAAGTTGATGTATTTGTTCAATATAAGGTCGTGCGTTGAATAGATTATTAAAGACTAGATTCTGAATGAATTCAATTACAACTCGACGTGCATGCCATTTTGAATTAATACAAATCTATACTCATAAGAGTAATAAACAAAGGATAAATAATTCTTTATAAATATCTTTATACTTTTGTTAATTGTTGAAGAAGTGCTTCGAAGAAATATCTATTTAAGTAACACAT